TCAAAAAAGTTATTTTGATCTTCTTTTAATAATAATTGGCTTGATTGGTTTGATGTTAACTAGATATAGATATTAACTAGATATAGATATTATCTATACTTTAAATTTTTTTATGTTAGTACTTTTGTTATTACTTATTTTTTATAGTAATGTTTACGCGAGTTTTTTTAGTTTTGATACAGTTTAAGATCTGAAAATTTATTACTAATAACTTACGTTTCAAGTGGTTTTTATTATCGACAGTTTACCCATAAAACATTACCCGAAGTAGAAGAAAAAGAGGAAGTCATTAAAGATGATAACAATATTAACAAAATCTTGTTATGCGAAGTAAACAAAAGAATGCGATTTTAAAGAAGAAGAAAAACGATATGATATTGACGAACACCTACGCGGAAATCAATGTTTATCACCACATGAAATATTCAAAATGTTTAGGAATAACTTAAAGCAGAAGATACATTTTCAATTTCCCAAAATATTAAAACATGGTTGCAAACGCAATTGTAAAAAAGAACATTTACAAAATAGATTTGTTACAGCAAAAGGGAAGACGCAGTCTACTGCATATACTGCACTTTATTTCTTAAGCAGGATAAAATTTTTTTTTTGAGAGCTTTTGTTAACCGTGGATATAAGGAATAGCACAATGTTTTAAAGAAACAAAAACTACATATAGGCAATAGATACCTTAAAGAAGCTATCAAACAAGCTAATGGCATTTGTTGTCGTTTTGAAGATCCAAGACAAAACCTTTTATTGCAAAGCAATAACAATTTAAAAAACCGACAACAAATGTACCAGCACATTGTTGAAACATTAGGTAAAATAGTGCAGTTAATGAGGAAACAAGGGCTTGCATTTCGAGGAACTTATGAAAAGTGTATGGAAAACTCAGACCAAAAAAGTAATCCTGAAAACTTTCTTGCAAGAAAGTTTCCAGGATTACCTTTCTTTGTAGCTATTTAGGTGCTTCCAGAAGTCTTTATAGTCTTATCACAGAGCACCGCGGGAAAGCATACCTTGCCATAACGCTGAACTTAATGCATATATACAAACACCATTACGCAAAGATGGCAGCCACCTTGGCCCCAAAAGTCAAATGAATTAGTTGATATAATTGGAAAGAAATGTATACAAAAGCGGCTAATTAATGAAATCAAAGCTGCAAATTACCATTCAATTTCAGCAGGCGAGGTACAGACAACCATTACAAAACATATTAATCATTGATAACATTTTCGAGATATACAGAAATATACCCATTTATTTCAATACCTCTCCAAAAAGAGACCGCTTGCCCGAGCATGTTGCAGAGATCCGTTGTAAATCAATTGAAAGAAAAAAGATTTTGATAGGGATGTGCAAAACAAGATGATCAGAAAGAGATGCCGCATATGAACACTTTTATTTAGCTATACCATTTATGGCCGAGGCATTAGAGATTATTTTAGGAATACACTCTAATATACAACAGTTCAATATAGAGTTTAGTATGAATTGGAACGCACAAGGAAAAAGAGAGGTTAACTCATTACTTAGTGCACTCACAAAGTTCGAAATCATAACTGGTATTATAACTTTGTACCACTTACTTCACTCGTTGTCGTATATAACAGAGAGGTTACAAGGGCGCACAACTAATGTTGTGTATGCATACAGTAACATTCAAGAAACAATCGATAATTTAAACCATCAGCGGAAAAATTTTGAAAAAGAAACTTACGCAATCTAGCAACAAGCTACTCGTGTGGCAAGTAAATTATTTGTAGAATCAACGATTCCCAGAATCACTATGAGACATGCCTACAGAAATAACGTACCTGCAGAGAGTCCCATGAATATTATAAACGGGCCTTGATTATACCTTTTCTCGACACCATCATTTTAGAAATCAAAATACAATTCCAAAAGACAAATTACATTTCTGCTAAGATTTCATGTATAAAAGTGATATTCCAAATTCAGAAGCTGTAGATCAAGAACTCATGTTTTGGAAAAGAAAATTGTCTGTTATTAAACCTGAAGATAGGCCTAATACTCTAGCTAAAGCCATTAAAATCTGTGATGAAAATCAATATCCTAATCTCTTTGAGCTTCTAAACTATTGTATGTAAACTACTCGTCTGCAGAATGTGAACGCAGCTTTTCAGCAATGCGAAGATTAAGAACATGGTTAAGAGCCAGTATGACTGCAGATAGACTTGGTTCTTTAGCCATCATGAATATCCACTACAATGAAATTGTTGATTATAAACAAGTCTCAAAATTATTTTTTATATTGAATCCAGAAAATTGTATGAAAAAAGTTTAGTTTTTGAATAAAAATTTAAACCATTTATCAAATATTATTAATCTTTGTTTCGATATTTTTTATTTTTTAACAAGAGCCTGCTTATACGCCTATGCAGTATACAAATAGAAAAAATATTCGGAGAACAATAAATTCGTTTATGTAAACATTGTTACACAAATATAGCTATGTTTCACGAAAATTTTATTAAGTAAATTTAGTAAGATATTTTTTTGGTGTTTTAAAACTGCCTTTTTTTTTTAAAAAAAAACGACCCCCTCCCCTAAAAAGTTTCACGGTACGGCCCTGTCATGTTGTTTGAAAACGGATATAAATTAGGGGCAGTGTTTAAAACTGATAACAAATTTTAATAAAATTGTGTAGAGCAAAAAAAAAAAAAAAAAAAAAAAAAATGTAAAAAAAATAGCCTTCCTCCTTGTTTCCAAGGTGATCTACATCGAATCTAATAAATATTGCCTTTCTTACTAGATGGTCTGGATCCGCCCCTGCGCTAACGCGTATTTCATTTTTATTTTAATAACATCAATTTTTTAAGTTTAGTTATTTGTTTAAAATGTCACCTTCTTATAGGTTAACCCAAAATATTATAGACAAACCAAAAAACGTTTTTTAATTTTAATAAGAATTTTGTGTGCTTATTTTAGCATTTACCATTATACTAACCTTGTAATCTCATTTTTACCATGTTTAATCATTATTTTTTTATTATCTTCTGTTTATTTATATATTTATTTCTTGTTTTTATTTGTTTTGTTAAGAGTTATGTTGAATGTTACTTTTGTTTAACCTTGTCTGTAATTTAATCTTTTCATCTTATAATCTACAAAAATAAAAACTTTTTAACAGTTAAGTAATAATAACTTGTTTTGTTTAGTTTATACTTTTATTATTATTTATATTACTTTTTTTTGTCATTCTTTTCTTTTATTTTCTAACATTTTATTGGTGGTTTCGTTTAAAGCCATATTTTTTATATAGATTCTTATAGAATATGTAAACTCTCAGGATAATGTAGAAAAAAACTTTCAGGATAATGATGAAAAAAACTTTATAATGATGGTGAAAAAAAAATCTCAATATAATGATTAAAAAAGCTCTCAGGATAATGTGAAAGCAACTCTCAATTTATTGAATTAAAAAAAAAACAACTGACTTAACAAATTTGATTACCAAGCTTTGATAAATAATTAAAAAAGACTAAACTATTTTAGAAAATAAGATTTTCAAAAAGATATTATTTTATAAATGTAGTATATAAATGTACCGTATATACAAAACAAATATAGCAAATAATTTTAAAAATATATATTTTATATTATTCGAACAAAATTATTACTTGAACTACATATTGCAAGAAACAATAAAAAGTTTTTATATCTAATTTAAATAATTTTCCAACAGGTGCAAACAACTAAACGGTTTCATAAATATGTGCATTCCAGGGTTATTTTACTTCAGTTATGTCATTGTCTTTTATGCTCCAGATTTATTAAAAAAAAAATTTAATTAAGTTTAACATAGAGAAGTACTTAAACTTTTATAAAAAGACTGTGGCAACCTTACGCCCCAAATTATTTATAAAATGTGTATTACAATATATTATCTCAATTCAGTCAATAGCAAGAAAAATAACAAAATATAGCGATTAATTAAACATGTAAACAATATAAACAATAAATTAGCAATGCTAATAAAATAAATTAATTATGCAAACAAAATCTTTTTGCAGCATTTTTACAACGCCGAAAATATAAAGTTTACAAAAATAATCTTTTGATAAGTTTTTATTTGAACAAAAGTTTTTTCCTGCTGGTTAACTTGAATTGCTAGTTTTCCGGAAGATTATTGTGACGCAACTTAATGGAACAAGATTAGGAGTTTCGGAAACTATTGCGTATTTTTTTTAATAATCAAGGAAATTGAAAATTTCTTTATGCTCATTGAGTAAAACTTAACAACATCCTTTTGTTATTTGAGTAAATTATTAAGTAATAATTTATGATCCATTCAAGATATTTTTGATTATTGATATTATCAGATATTAAAAAACATTGTTTTAAGTTTGTTAACCCGCTTATAATAAAAAACGTTATAAAAAAATTTGCATTTATTTTATCTTCAATAAATTTTATCAAAATAATTCAAATCAAAGCAATTGTTAGCAAAATATTATATATATATATATATATACATATATATATATATATATATATATATATATATATATATATATATATATATATATATATATATATATATATATATATATATATATATATATATATATATATATATATATATATATATATATATATATATATATATATATATATACATGTATATAAGATATATACATGTATATAAGATATATACATATATATGTAAGAAGGTTTTTTTTTCAAAACGCTGTATAAGCAATTCTGTTTATATGTGCCAACTTAAATAAAAAAATTTTAAATGACTTGAAAAACTACAAAAAAGTAATAACAATAAATGATCATATTAAAAAAAAAAAAAAAAAACATTTAAAAGTTATTAATTAAAACTAAATTAAAAATAATAATAATAAAGTTCGCTTTCTTGGGAGAATTACTTTTTAATTAATATTTAAAGTGGCACATTAAAACAAAATTGCTCATACCATACGTTTTTTAAAAAAAACTCTTCATATATACATATATAAACATTTTAAATAGATATATCTGTATTAAAATTAAAATATTTACAATAATTTTGATAAATATTTATACCCTATGAACAAATGTACACACACAACTTCTAAAGAACTGCAGCACCACAACCTGCACGAGCAAAGTTCATATTTCTTTTATGAACCCAGCAATCTTTTTCAAAGTCATAAACCTCGATTGAACTTAATCTGTTAATGCCATCAAAACCACCAATAACAAATATTTTTTTCTTTAGTATAGCAACACCAGACCATGCACGGGGTGAAAGCATATTAGATATTAAAGTCCATTGCATTGTAGAAAGATCAAAACTAAAGAAAAAATATCAGCAAATAATTTAATTTCATATTAATGAAATTAAATTATTTGTTAACAAAATATCAAAAAATAACTTAATTCATATTTATAGCATAATTACAAACTGAATAAAATAATTTAAACTTGAATAACTACATTAAATATTAGGCAAAGTACCGTTCACAAATGTCAAAGTAAGTGTCACTACTTCGGTTGCGCCCACCAATAGCATAAATAAAGGAATCCATTGAGACTAGGTTTAAACCAGAGCGAGCTTTCTCAAGTTCTGCAACAAATTTCCATTCATTTTTTATTGGGCAGTAACATTCAACTGAAGCTCTATCACAGTGCATTGTTCGATCATACCCACCAGCAACATATATCATACCTAGAAAGTTAAAAAAAAAAAAACACTCATTAACAAATAAAACTTGAAAAACAAATCAGTTTATCAAACATTAAAATAAAAAAATTCTTTATTTTATAATAATGGCTTCCTTCACTTTTTACAATACATACAATTTATATTAATTAACCCGGGGTATTTATCAAGTAGATAAGCGTTTAACTCAAAATTTACAATATTTAAAAAAATTTAAATGAACCATCATGTGATGTGGCCCCTGCTCCTGCTCTTCGCTTCTGCATGGGTCTTTTAATTTTCCAACAATTATGTTTTTGAGAATACTGTTCAACAAGATTGAAACTTGAAATGCGATCTTCACCACCTATAGCGTATAACTTTCCATTACAAACTACAGCAGAAACAAAGGATCTTGAAATACTCAAGTCTGCAACTCTATACCAATATTTTGTTTTTGGGTCAAACCGTTCTACATTAGGCAAATATAAAGTTTCATCTTGAGGGTTATTTATTGCACATTCACCTCCCACAGCATACAAACATCCATTTAAACAAACTGATGCAATAGCTGTTCTTGCAATACTGAGATTTTTTTCAATAAACCAGCTGTCAGTGTAAATATCATATCTTTCAACACTACTTAAATGACAGTGCATACTATTTCTACCACCAATGGCATATATTGATTGCGGTAAAGCTCTTTGAATGCAAAGATAGTCTGGTAAGTGTTCGGGTCTTTCATTAATAATTTTAGCTAAAATAAGCTGACATGTAGAATTTGCTTTAATAAAAGATGCAGGAAAAACTTTAGATTCTAAAAATTCAAGAGACAAAAGAGGGATTCGAATGTATTTTAATACTTCAGGAAAAAGTTTTTGTCTTTTTGTATAATCATGTAACAACCATTTTTCTACTGAATTATAAACATCTTCTTCATTACGAACTTGCAAACTGTCATTTTTTAAAAGATTACACAGATCATCAACATTTAGGTTTAAAAATTCCTCTGTGTTTGAAACATCAAGAAAATGCTGGTGGATATAACGATTTGCATACCGCTCTAATTGTGTACATGAATAAATATTTGCAAAGTCTCTAATACCAATACAGTTTGAAGAATCTAACTGATGACATAAAAATCTAACGCAGGCTGATTGCAATGACTCTATGTTGAGTAAGCTAGACCCACAAAAAAGTTCTTCAACATTTTTAATGTTAATTTCAATTACACCAGTATAAGAGAATTCAATTAACATTTCCATAGTTTTTGATTTTATTCCATGAATAGTTATAACTTTTTGTCCTGACTCTAACATTCCATTTGTAAACATCGCCCTTAGATAAGGACTAGTACCCGCTAAAACTACTTTATGAACGTGAAACTCGTTTTTTTCAACTTTTAAAATTACATCGCAAAGTTGTTGCTCTTTTCGAAGCGCGTTTATCAATTGTAATGTTTCGTTGGCGAAAGAAAAATGTTGAAAAATTTTGCAAACCATTTTATATTAAAAAAAAATTATCTTTTTGCATATTGTTCTCAAACATACATAATTCTTTTTCCACGCTTTTAAAGTCTATAGCATAATTGTTTGGAAGCAGGCATGGGTTTAAAAAGTTTGCTTACATGTACGTGATCAGTTTCACGTACAAAAATTTATTAACAAATACTTTATAAATTTTTAAGAAAGTTAGACCAAGATATTGTTTACGCTTAAAATATTAACTTGTAAAGCTTAAATTAGTATCAAGTTCTGTTAGAAAAAGTCTGTCTGGTATTGTCTAAATGACTAATAAATTTTAGCTATATCAAAAATGCCGAAGTTTGCTATATTTAGCTGTATTTAATTTTAACTATATTGAAAATCTCATAGTCTACTATATTAAAAATGCCATCCTTAGCTGATACATCAGAGAGATATATCAGCGGTGTAAAATGGTGGTAGATATAGGATAATTTTTAGGCGTAAAATAAACTTGCGCTTGTTTTCTTATCGTACCGGAACTGCGTAATTAAAACCGAAATACTAGCAAATACAAAATTATGGTAATTAAAACCGAAATACAAACATTGTTCCAATTTTTTTTCGCATTTTTTTCGGGCAACCGAACAATTCATAAAAATTTTTGGATTGCTTTTCTTCCTTTTTTGTTAAATCAAAACACAGATTTTTGATTTTATTAAAACATGTTTTTGGCTTAAGAAATTATACAAGTCATAATATATCAGACTTCATAGATTAGAGGTCATAGTAGAAATTTTTCTTCCAGATTGAAAAACTCTCTATTCTAAAAACTTGCATTTATATATAACTCTAATTGACATTTGCTAACTTAACTTCAAAACTTGCCAACTCAAATACTTAATGCGCCAACTCAAATGCATATATAACAGCTTTGTCAGAACACAAGTAAGAATAGGCTTATAGGAGGCCGAAGTTGTTTAAGCGTTGTTACATCGAAGTTGGTTTGCAATTTCTACTACTACAATTGATTAATGAAGGCTAAGCTGGAAAAAAGGTGTCTCAATCTTTTAGTAAACTTGTGTTTGACTTAGTTCTAAGCCACATAGGCTTATAAGTTCCCACAATTAACTTAATTATTGAAAAAATGTTTTTAAAATTTTTGCCTTCTAACTTTTGTTTTAAGACTCACACTCTGCAAAGTTTACTGGCGAATATCATTTGTGATAATTGATCGGTTAATCGTCTGCAACTATTAACTGGCCATATCTTAAATAAAGACATACCTTTGGTATGTCTTTATTTAAGATATGGCCAGTTAATAGTTGCAGACGATTAAAATTGACAATGTATTTTTTCTTCTGATTTGATCTGATATCCTATGTTGAATATATCTGTTCTGATATCCTATGTTGAAATTAGTAGAATCACCACCTATCGCTGTAACCCAACGGGCATTCGAACATTTAATCAACGTTTAGTTAATGTTCGTTCTAAATGTTTAGATTTAATTTAGTTTCAATTTAGAACGTAGGTCAATCGAATGTTCCATTTGAACCATATCTAAATGGTTCGTTTTAAACGCTATTTAAACTTTATCTAAATCTTTCGTTTAAAACTTCGCGACGTTTAAAACGGCGCTTATTTAAAGAAGCATAAATAAATACAAAATATTGATAAACGAATCAAACTTTTCTTTTATTTAAGCTGCTTTAAATAAGCACCGTAAAAAAAAAGTTAAACGCTGAATGCATTATCTAAATACTCATAAACAAATCAAACATTAAACAAATAATTTTTTATTTGTATAAGTCTAAGATACAAGTAAAATCATTTTATTTATTATTATATGCATTATCGTATTCGTCATCATGATCGGCTCCATAATGATCATCGTCATATTTGTTTGAACCGATTAAGCCTCTTCGTCTTATAAATTAGAAAAAAGGAAATAACCTTTCAAATTTCCACCTATACGGAAGGGAGCCATTCTAAGATGGAAATCAATGCACGATACCGTATTGCGGATACCGAAGTCATACAATATCTTTTCTAAAAATAATAAAAATAACTCAATAAACATCTTCATTCTATTCATATAAATCATTCATTTAACAACTTTATAAATCCATAGTTTTATAGATTATAGAAGATTGTACATTAGTAGAGTGTACATTGAGTAATTATGGTAACAATTGACAGAGAACTTTTCTTTAAAACTCTGTAAAATATAACATTTATATAATAAAAACCTTATTAAAAAGACTTGCAGTTATCGCAGTTATGGGTTGATAAGTTGCATAACTGCAGGACAACTGCAGTGCCCTTCCTAAACATAGTAATACAATATTATATAGTATTCTATTACTTTATAACAATATTTGTACAATATATATATATATATATATATATATATATATATATATATATATATATATATATATATATATATATATATAAAGTATTATTTGCTTTAACAAGCGATTTATTCAATTTTTAGTGCAGTTTTTCCATAATTAACCATTTCTACTGTAATTGCATTAAACTAGTAATATTAACTCTGAAGAAATTGAAAAAAAAAATAATTTAGATTAGAATAATGCACAATTATGGATTAATTATGTTATCATTTTCAGTTTATATATTATTAGTTTCTATATAAACATTAACAAATTAAAATGAAACCTTTAAAAGAGTTGTTTAATCAGTACTTTTGCGCTTTTTTGATATCTGCTAATTATCAATGCCTTCTTCAGTTTCTGATATTTAAAACTTTTGCAATCCTCATAACAATCTGTAAAAGGAATAACAAAACATCTTATCCAAAGCAATGACAAATAAATTTAAAAAGTAAATTATTTAAAATTTTGAGAATAAAAATTATGATATCACAAACTAAAATAACAATTCAATAAAATATCAAGCTTTTGGTTCTTCCAACAGACTGGCGATATGACATTTTGCTAAAATGTTAACACTAATTTGGTTAAAGGTACATCAACACATAACATTAACTTGTAACTAAACTTGTTAAAAGCGTTTTAAATAAGTTTAGTCGTCTAGTTTTTTAGCTTTTTTTGCTGACTTTAGTTTTCCTAATTCCGAGGGATGATATACATATACATACTATATTTCAACCCGTTAAAATTTCAAGCTTGGTAGGTCTTTCATAACATAATAAAAATAAATAAAAAATAATGCTATAAACATTTCAATAGCTTTTAGATATAGAGCATAAGATAAAAACTAAACAATTTGAACTCTCTTTTAACTAATTTAAATTTTAAAGACTCGAACCAATCATCAACGTACCTTTTAAATATAACAGGAATTACCTTTAATCTTACATTAAATTTTAGGCGTTGAATTTTTATATATAGCTTTTCAGAAGCTTGAGCAATTAGATTATGATTTAAAAGGTAAATATCTGACAGATGTTCAACTATTAGAATCATATCTAAAATTACAGAGTTAGCACTTTATCTTGTGATTACTAAAAGAAAAACTATTAGTTTTAAAAATCACTTCAGTTTTTATTTACAGAATGGTCTTTACAGAAATATATATTTTCAGAAAACTATGTAATTCAGAATTACATAGTTTTCTAGCGGATTTCAGAAAACTATGTAATATAGCTATATATATTATTGTTCAAACCATGTTGACTTTTCTACTAAAGAGAAAATAAATGATACAATTAAAAGCCTTCAATTACCATTAAAAGCCTTTACTAAAACTGAAGATCCATTATATAAATATTTCAACCTCACAATTTTTAATTGGCACTGACTGCACTAAAAGTATAAATATTATAACATTGCTATTCGATCAATATAACATCTATCATAAACAAATAGATGTTAGATTTTAATATAAACAAAAAATAATAATTTTATTTAGTTATTTAAAAAGTAGTTACGACTTAAAATGCATAATTTTCCTCTAAAACTTTTAGAGAATATTTATGCATTTTAAGTAATAACTATTTTAGCATTGTTAAAAAACCAAACAGAAAAAACAATTTAAGAAATAGTTTAAAAAAATGCTGACACTGCTACTTTTTTGAAACTACTGCTACTTTTTTGAAACTGCTATTTTAGTAGCTATAACTAAAAAAAAGAATTATAAAAATACATTGTTACTGTACTTAAAATTACTTTTAATCGCTTATACAATATTATCGAAGCACTTACAGGACTTTTTAACTCCTTCATTAGCCACAATATAATACTAAAAACAAATTTCTTTTATTTTTTCTAAACCATTCTTTACTCAATTTAAGATTAATAAGAAACTCTAATTTTTAATCATAATGAAAGATTCAAAATGTCCGACACATTTTGTAAGAAACCAAGGCCTTCTTAAAGAAGGCCTTGTAGAAACTAATTTAATTAAGTTAGTTCCTTGTTTAAGAAGGCCTTGAAAGAAACTAATTTAATTAAGTTAGTTCCGTACGGAAATTGTTTGATTTAACTTTTCAACGCAAATTAAATATTCAGAACACGTTTAGAATAGATTCCTAAACGTTTAGATCGACGTAAATGCCATCTAAACGTGATCTAAACCAATTTTAAACCAACAAATGCCCGTTGGGAAGCTTTTGTCAGTAGCATTCTTTTTCAAAAGTTCACATGTATTCTGAGCAATTATTTTAGCGAATTTCAAATAAATTTCTTGAATTTTTTCAGGTGTTAAGTGGAAAAGACATACTGTATCAGGGCCGTATTAAAGTACCAGGCCCTTAGAAAAAAAGCCCAGTGAACCTTTTTTTTTTAGAATAATTTTTTTTTCACATATTTCTCAGTTTTTTAAAATCAATTTCTTCAGAGATTAAAAGACGTTGCAAATAAAATATTATAGATAAAGTCATTAATATAAGTTTCATTTTTTAATGGTTCCGTTACCGCAAAAAGTTTGATAGTTGATCATTTGCGTATTTTAAGTTGTATAAAGTTTTAAGTTGTATTTAATTTCAACAGGAGTTACAGAGATTTACAAAAAAGTATTGATATTGCATTTAGCATGAAAAATAAAAAATCTTAAAGGAAACGATAACGGTCAATACGATGTCACGTATGAAAATCATGATCAATTTACAAACGTAAGCGTTATATTTTTACGAGTACAAAATAAATTGAAAAAAGTTTGTTAACCAATTACAAAAACAAGCTGAACGTTGTGTTTTTTCAGATGTCGCTTAAGCAGTAAAAAATCTATTAGAATGTCTCCATGCCTAAAAATGTCCTAATACAAGCCTGTACTTTGCAATATTCCTCTTACAATATTGCAAGACAACATTCTGACGAACCTTCAACTGTTATTAGAATACTCGTACTATCATCTCTATCATAAATGAGAGCGAAACAGTTCCATAATGGGAGGGAAGTCAAGAAGCTTCATTAACATCCGTGGCTAGACCTTAAAGCAGGGCAAAGTTATAACCATCTATAAAAATATTTAAAATCAGAAACGAAATATTTAAAACAGAGATAACTTTGATAGAAATAATCACACTTGATACCAGACCTCCATTACAATTACTAGGCTGGATAGCGAACACGACAAAAATAAATATTAAAGATTTGTTAAAAAATCTTTTATAATTAATTTTTCTTTTTATATGATCGGCACATTAGATTAAGTTCAGTTTTATCGCTTGTTACTTAATATTTATTACTAAATAATTTTTCTTGCCAAACCCAAATCGGAAACCTTAATATAGTACAGCTTCTTAAAATAAGAATAACTTCTCAAGTTTAGCCACAGATTTATCTTTATTCTAGATCAGCTACATTCCGAACATCCTCTAATGTTGCAAAAGTTTACATTGAGGCTTACTCAATGTAAACTTTTAATGTAAATCAGTAATGCAAAACTATGTACAAGATACCAAAATGAAGCATTGGCGTAATTCCACCTATTAATCATCTATGAGTAAACGGCTTTCATTAAATATTTTATTGGATAATGTCTTTTATTTTTATTATTTGTTCTTTGCAAACACAGACTTTATCTTAGAAGGTTATTTCTTAAAAGAAGAAAACTAAAGATAAACTAAGTATTTTAGAAGGTAAGACTACAACACAAGAATATCTTTTACGTTGATAACTACGACACAAGAATATGTTTTTATCAGTATTCAATTTTTAAACACACTTACATATATATTTTTTTTGTTTCTTATTTTAATGTTTTAGGTTTGAAGTATTTTTAGACAATATATGAAAATAATTCAATTTAGCTTTTATAAGTGTTTTTACCTATCAAGTAAAAGCACTTTATTAGGTTTTATAATTAATTTAAAAGCTTAAAAGTTTCATAATTAAAATTGAAAATACAGGGACGAATTGAGGAATTTTTACATAGGAGCAGCTAAAATTTGTGAAAATACGTCATAATCGCAATAAAGGAAAAATTTTATTAAAAAGAACTATAAAAAAATTGTTTCCTAAATCAACAACAACCTAAACAGTAGTTATCCTATAAAATTCAATTTTTTCCCATATAAAATTTCGAAATGACCAAAGCAACTAAAAATCTTCGTATAGAATTGTATTTTAAGTACGATGCAATTAACTACAGCCCCTTTCACCAGTACTTGCAATTAACTACAGCCCCTTTTCACCAGTACAGCCCCTTTCACCAGTACTTTAATAATATCTATGATAAAACGACTATAATAACTATAATAAAACGATTGTAAAAAAACGCGTATTTTGAACGACTTTTTTGCCTCTGTCTTCATCACTGACAACAGTGTTAGTCCTCCATTAGATTTTCCATCCCATCAAAACTCTTTGCGTAACGTGTTATTTCTATATGATTCTGTCGTTTCATTTCTACAAAAACTTCCAGCAAAGTTTTCCAAATCTCCGGATGTTTACCCTTAATTATTTTTAAAATCAACTGCAACTACCGTTTTTTGGATTTACTGATTTGGAAATTAGCAATAATTTGTCAAATATTTAAGAAAGGCAACCCTTCTCTATCAACCAACCACAGACCTATTTTAATGACCTGTATTGTTTGCAATTTTATGGAATCAATCAATGCTAAAACCATAAAAAAACTATCTGTTAGAAAATAACTCTTTTTCTCAACATCAATTTGGTTTTTTTTTTTTTTTTTTATTTTTTTTTTTTTTTTTTATTATTTATTTATTTTGCCGTTGATAAATATTACAAAAAAGAAATAATTTGTTGCTAACAATCTTCCAGCAGAATAATTTTAAAAATAAAAAAGTAAAAACGACAGAAAATCATGAAAGTTATAAAAACACAAAAAAAAATGCGTTGTTTAATTAAAAAAAAAGCAATACATGTAAACATAAGTATTTAGGCTGATTATTTAATATCATCAAAAATATGAACGAAAAAAACAATTTTATTTTCGTTATCTTTTATACTAATAGTTTGAAACCATTTTAATAAAAGCTAAAGAAAGTGTTAAAGATTTAATTTATTTTTAAGTGATTTAGTTTAAACCTTTAAATTGTTTTCAAAAAAGGTATTTGAAATCTAATATATCGAATTCCATGTTCAGTAAATGCCATTTTAAATCATCCTTAAAACTTTGCAAAGTGCAGTTTAAAACGAAGTTTTTTATTAAAGATTGGAAGAAATTTTTTCCAAACTAAAGGTCCCGATATTGAATTTGGTACGAAATTAATTTAAGAAGGTTTACCTTTAGTGGCGATGACGTTTGTCTGACGGGATAAACTAGTTATAAAGGCTGATCCTCATCGAAACGCCAGTATTAATAGACGCGACTCTGAGGAGATGTTTGTTACTTAATCACTACACAAATTATGTTTACACATTAGCATTAATGTTTTTTTTCCATTACCAGGCTTTTCATTGTAGATAGCATATTTTTTAATTTGTGATCGGTTTTTTATTTTATAAGTTTTTGTCTGGTGATGTATTTGTTGTATATATGCCGCTTACATTTTTATTATTTTTAAATGTTTATATTGGTGTTTATAAAACAAAATTATTTATTTATTTTTTCATTTTTTATTGTTATTATTGTTGAGTACTGTTTTAGGTGTATAGCCTGTCCTATTTATTTTTAAATATTCCTCTATTAATCTTTATTTTTGTCTTGACAACGGTCAAAATATGCTTTGTCTAATAAATAATTCTCCTTTATTCTAATGTACTTCATTTCTTCCCTCGGGTGTTCACTGCTCGTGTGTGACCATTCGTGCGAATTTTATATGCCAAAATTTTTAAACGATATTGAATTTGGTACGTACTTAATTTAAAAAGTTTTATGGAAATCACAAAGTTATTCACTGAAAACTTGGTTGGATATTTATGGGAGATTTCATTAAAGTAGGATTGAAATGTTACTGGAGAAAACCCAAGTTTTGCTTTAAACATAAATAACATTACTTGATGAATATTAAGCTTATAAATACTTAAAGCTCCAAGCTGACGTAAGAGAGGTTCGCATTGTGTTTCTCTATTTGCCCCAAATACTATCCTGCAAGCATATTTTTGTTTATTATAAATTTTTTTGAGTTAAGTGTGATTAGTGCTACCCCAGGAAATGTTACAATATGAAAGATAGCTGTGTATAAACGAAAAATATAAATTTTTTTAAGACTCGTTATTAAGAAAAGATTTTGTTCGATATAACATGGCAATATTTTTTGAGATCTTACCTTCAATATATTTAATATGAAATTTCCATGACAAAATTTCATCTAAGAGCACTTCCAGAAAGTTTGTAGTCAGTTCCCTTTTAATTATTTTATTATTGATTAAAAGATTGGGTAGTTTAAGTGGAATATTCAAAGTCTAACTAGGTTATGGAGTAGGATAAATTTTGTTTTCTCTACATTTAATGATAGTCGGTTACTTATAAACCACTTGTTGATCTTATAAATCGCAGATCTACATGTTCACAAATGCTGGCAACTATAAACGAATGGACCACTGCAGTAAATAAAAAAAAAAATAGTTGACATCATCTATATTGATTTTGAACAAGCTTTTGATTAGGTTACTCATTCTAAACTAATGTTCAAATTGCGATATTATGGAATTAAATACAAACTATTTAATTGGATTAAAAATTGTGTAACCAATCGCTTTCAATGTGTGTGTACATGTAACCAATGTGCTTTCAATGTAGCTCATCGTCTACAGAAATGTATACTAGAATACTTTTTATTTAAGCGTACGTTTTCCTTCCTGATGTTTAATTTAAGTTGAGCAATAGCTGTTTGAAGAAGACTTTGCTTGTTAACTTTAACCTCTCCATTATTTGTATCAGTTTATACTTATATATACTTACATAA